GCCATGCTCATTTCCAGGCGTAGGCATGTCTGCATTCATGCCCTCTATCGGGATGTTGCCAACATCGCCAAGAGCTATGACGAAGTGTTCTGATGCATGAATCGCCGCTTGACTCCGCAGCTGAGTTCCTTTATTAGACTTTGAGACTTTGAGGGCTGACAAAGCGAGAGCAGCGTGTTAAAACGAAGCACTCAGAAACCCGACATCCATTACATCGTTAAGATATAATAGAGTGAGGACTCCGTATGGAGACGCATCCCGAAGATGGTGGTAATAGAGCATATCCTCAGGGAACTTCACGCTCTCAAGAAGCCCTTGAGGGATGATAGGAGCAGTATGAAGACCATTGAATAATTGACTGCTTCTCGGAGTTGGATTGTGACTTTGTGGAGCTGTCTGGGGCGATGAGAGATCTGATGGGCCCAACAATGGAAAAGTTGAGTGAGGCGTCTGGTCGGAAGTAGCAATTGGTGAAACGATATACGGCAAACCACCACGAATATCGTTTGCTGGCACCGAGGCGTCGACATCAGATTCTTGTATGAATCCAGAGTCCCAAGCGGTAGGTGTATTAGAAGCTGAGAACGCAGTGTTCGCATCGGAGCTAGTGTTTGGTCGACTAGCATTGAAGATCGGATTTTGAAACGCGACGGCATCATTTTCCAACTCTGGTGCTGGAGTCACATATGGAGTATAGTACTCAGGAGATGGGTTCTGTACCTCTTGGGTCTGTGAGGCATCATCAACACTATCTTCTGGCTCTCGTAGGGGTTGACTTGACCGTGTGCGACGCGGTGACCCATGGCTAAACAGTTTGTTTTGGTCCTTGAAGACAATTTGAGTCGCATAACCACCACAAGGCATACACAACCGAATGCACTACAAGAGCCACGAGTCAGTAACTCGACCCCTATCGAAGAAATCCGTGAGTCATTGACATAGACCTACGTTATTGCATTCTGGCTTTGTCTCATCGCACTTCAATCGCCGAGCTCGGCAAGTGACGCAGCCATTCCGATTGCGAGTCTTGACGTTTCGCCGTCTTATAACGCGGCCAGACATTGCTTTGTCTCTAGTAGGGCTATTGATATCAGAATTGGTGGAATTGAACGAGTTGCGTCAATGTCCAGCGACGTTTAGCCTTTGTTGGAACGGTTGAGGGACTGAAATTGGTAATGACGACACCTCGCTTGGAAATAACGCATTAGGCCAGATTAAACGAACGGGGAAAACAACCAAGTCAGTTGGTGTGCTAAGCTAGATTAGGCAAAGGCCAATCGACTTATGCGTGAGGAGCCGCAAGGCTAAATGTTGCAATCCCACGTTATTCCTAGAAACAAATTCGAATAGTAACCAATTGAACACCAATAACCAGACAAAATCGAGTTCTTTGATGCCGAAACCTTATGATACTAGCAGCATTTTTACTGGGCAGAATTTCGAGGCGCAGAGAGAAAGGGTGATGGCGAATGCATGATCCCCACGTTGGCTTGCTGCTTGTAGCACCCACAAACGGAAGTGTTGAACGAGCTCCCCTGTCAAGAGAAGGATTGTTAAGATGAAGAATATCCTACCATTCTTGAACAATACACACACCGATTCCTGTTCCTGTGACGTTCCGAGTCTCACAGTACTTCTTTGGTTGATAAGGTTGCATTTGTAACCCGGTTCAGAAACGCCACGCCCAACTACAGTCAACTGCTATCGTCATGGAGATCTCAAAAGCGATATCAGATCCCGAGCCAGGGTCATTGGTGCTTGAGAAAAAGGCATCCTTTGAATCGCAACAAGCAACAAGGGTCATTATCACGTTCGACAGTAATGATCCAGAAAACCCTAACAATTGGTCCAAGGTACGCCAGACTCCTCCTATCAGTCCCAGACCAATAGACTAACTATCCTCCAATAGGCCAAGAAGAGATTTGTGGTATTCACAATCACCTTGACATTACTCAACAGCACACTCTCTTCTTCCCTCCCAGCTAATGCCATGTCACCAATGGCCGCCGAGTTTGGCATCGATGATAAGCGAGGGAATCCAGAGCTAGCACTCCCCATATCTCTCTTCCTCGTTGGTTATGTCTTTGGACCGCTCCTCTTTGGGCCACTCTCAGAACTTCGAGGCCGCAAATACGTACTCCAAGCTGCATTCATTGTTTACATAATTTTCACACTAGCTTGTGCATTGGCACCGAATTGGCCGTCGATGCTAGTCTTCCGGCTCGTGTCGGGCATTTGTGGCAGCTCACCGAGTACGCTCGGCGGCGGTATCATTGCAGACATCCACAGCGACCTGACTCTGAGAGGAAGAGCTCTTACATATTTTTACACAGCGAGCATCTGTGCGCCATTGATCGCCCCGACAATAGCTGCGTATCTAGCACCTATATCTTGGCGATGGGCTTACTGGTTTACCCTCATTTTTGCTGGCGTGACACTCATTCCATTGGCATTCCTACCAGAAACTTTTGGTTCAACCATTCTTGCCCGACGAGCGAAGCATATACGAAAGTCCGCACAAAAGACCGGTCATGGCAATGTCGAGACTTATGCCGCCATTGAACTTGAAGCAAAAGGTTGGCACAACCTCATGAGCGTCGTGCTTATTCGCCCATTGCATATGCTCTTCACAGAGCTAATCGTCGCTGCAACGGCTATTTACATCGCACTAGCCTACAGCGTCTACTATATGTTCTTCCAAACATACCCCATCGTCTTCAAGGGCATCTACAAAATGTCGAACCAAACCAGCAGCTTTATGTACTTGCCAATTGCTGGAGGAATCTGCCTTGGGCTGGTTATATTCTTCCTGTGGGATGCGTACTACAGACGTTGTAAAAAGGCTGGTCGGACCTGGGCGCAGAAGGATGAGTACAGCAGACTGCCTCTGGCATGTATGGGCGGCCCCCTCTTGGCCATTTCTCTCTTCTGGGCTGGCTGGACGGCACGGTCCAGTATTTCATGGGTGTCCCCGATGATAGCAGGAATACCATTTGGAGCAGCTCAACTGATGATCAGTATCGCTCTTACGACTTATCTGGGAGATTGCTATGGAGTTTACTCGGCATCTGCCATGGCAGCGGGAACTTGTCTGAGGAATCTTGCGGGCGCTGGACTATGTCTGGCTGTCGCGCCGATGTACACTAAACTTGGCGTCGGATGGGCTTCAACCCTTCTTGGAGGCGTTAGTGTCTTGATGTGTGCTATTCCATTTGTCTTCATTCGGTACGGGAACACTATTCGGCAGCGAAGTAAATTCTATCAGAGGCTAAAAGCAGAGATGGAATCGTCGCAAAGTGAAACTGAGAGTGATTGAGGCGGAGCTGGAAAGGGATACACGAAAAATAGAATTATAGACTAGAATCTAATCTTAGATAACTACTTTTACTTGAGGATGTTGACATGGCGTTCTGTGAAAGACAAGTGGCTCACGTGCACATAAAGTAAGACAAGACTAAGAACTACGTGCATCCTCTTCACCAAACTATCCCATCTCAAGATAAAGGTTACAAAATAAATCACAGAATCCATGCAAGAAGAAGTCGGCCCCCCTATAGTAAGATGATGATCGGAAGTAGGCTGAGCGAGCAGAGACCCAAACCTTCGTCTTCTCAGCAGCTACTGCCCGGCCATGGATCTTGTCTGCAAGGAACCTGAATTCCTCGTACCAACTTTCAGGATTGTTTGGTTTGATTATAGCAGCGGCCCAAAGGATTGCTCCCGTGGTACTGCCGCCTTCGTTGGCAAGAGAAAGGTATTCACTCAAGATGAAGGATTGGCGCGCTTGAGCCTAACTAAGTGTCATGACATTTGCCAGTGGATAGGATAGGAGATGGGCAAAAAGAGAAATATCATGAAAAAATAAAAACTTATGTCGGTGGAGAGGCTCGAACTCTCGACCTTTGGATTACTCTGACCTAGGGCCAAATCACAGCTTTTACTATGAGACCAACGCTCTAACCAACTGAGCCACACCGACAATATTTGATTGGACGTGATGCCCACTCAATTCGTTGGCGGACTCCATCCAAAATGCCGTACAAGAATCGAGTTTACGGAGACGGCATTGATTAATTGCAGATGGTATTCATGAATGGGCAATGGCTTTCATCAGAATGTTGTTGATAAACATCCCCTCAATCAGATATCTGTTGCCCATGGCCTGTGTAGTAAGAGTCAGCCTGGTTGGGTGCTTATTGACATTGACAGGTCCAGCCATAATACAGTCTAAACAACAAAAAGTAATTTCTCGGCCTTGAAGAATAGAGACTTATTCTACTACATCTCGGCAAGTCCGCAGTTAGTGTATTTACTGATCTTGCAATTGGAGCTTGCGTGCACACAGTTTTCCATCTGCCTGATCCTCCAACGCTAGGCACTTCCTGGTCAACCAGACCCACAGCCACTTTATGAGGAGGGCAAAAAGAAACAATGCGGTTTGTGTGGATCGAACACACGACCTTCAGATATCGTAATGATAGTGATTGAAGTTGGACTTCAGTCTGACGCTCTCCCAACTGAGCTAAACCCGCTTGTTGTATTGCCGTGATTTTGATTGGCGTCATAGACGACTCCAGTCCACGAATGGGGATGCTTGAGCTCGAGATTGACACTGAATTTGTAAAAGTCGGATCAATTGAGTTGTCAAGTGACAACAGCAGTGATGGAGCAGATATTTATGGCAGCCTTGTTACCTTGCCTGGAGGCTGTGTGATGCTGTTATTCTTGGTTATCCCGCAACCATGAGGCTGCATGCTCAAGGGTAAGTGATTACAAGTTAATAATAAGAGAGGAAGCGAATACACAAATCACCTTGAAGATCCCGGAACTGCACCTTATCGCAAAATCGGCAAACACTCTTAATCGGAACCATTAATTCAAATTAGATTGTAAACAACTAGCTACAACAAGAATGTCAATAGCGTGCACTCTCGCATGGTTGACTTATCACTGAAACAATTTGGATGCAGACATATCACCAAGTTTTTAGTTTGGTCATGCGTTGTTAAGTCATCCTGCCCCAGTGCTCAATGCTTGCCAACAAGATGCCAAAGAGGCATCAGAACATCTGTAACAATCGATTGAACAAACAGAAATTGCCTGAAGTGACAGCAATTGAGTCGAATGTCACACAGCTTCTCAAAGATTGCTAGGCCAGGACCACTGAGACACCGTCGTTATAAGCCAAAAGACAACCACTGTCTACCACATACGACCAAAGGTAGTGGAAAATACGGGATCCCGTCCGCTCTCCCATAGTCAAGCCACTAACCGGCGGATTAGTAGTTGGGTCGGTGACGACCAGC